TTTGCGACCTCAGAGCGACGGACTAGTCGAGAGATTCCATCGCGCCATGGGACAACAGCTGGCCATCCTCACGTCTCAGCATCAGCGCGACTGGGACGAGCATCTGCCCCTGGTGCTCATGGCATGTCGCGTCGCTCTGCAGTCCAGGAGTCCTCGGCCTGTTCTCCTGCCCTCCTCATGTTGGGGAGAGAGCTGCGACCCCTGCTGTTTTGGCGTTTGGTCAGCCACCAGATTCCCTGGACACGCCTTCAGGGCCTGAGTACGCCAGGAGACTTCAGGACCGCCTTGATTCTGCTCACGCCTTTGCCCGTGATCAGCAGAAAAGTGCTGGGGTGAGACAAAAGCGGAACTACGACACCCGGAAAAGAGGGCAGCATTTCCGTGCAGGGGAGCTGGTTTGGGTCTACAGCCCCCAACGCAAGAAAGGCCGGTGCCCAAAACTGGACAGCCAGTGGGTTGGTCCGTGCAGAGTACTGGAGAGGGTGGGGGAAGTGGTTTACAGGGTGCAGCTGCCATCAAGGGGGAGAAAAGTGGTTCTCCACAGAGACAGGTTGGCTCCGTACCGAGGAGTCGCTTCCCCACAGGCCCCAGGAACACCGGGGTCCACAGCCGGCCCTCCAACATCCACACTCAGGTCCCCCGGCGAGCGGAACAGCAGTGCCTCCTCAGGGACTGAGTGTCCCCCCATTTTCTTTCCCCTTTCCCCGCCTGGGCCGGAACCGGCCACCCCAGTCGCCCTGCCGAGAAGGCAGTCACGACCCCCGGGTCGTTTCAGAGACTTTGTGTGTTGGTAAAGTTTTTTTTAGTGAGACCCCTTGTTTACGGTAGAGGGCAAGAATGTGCCCTGGTCTCACTGGAAGGGATGGTAGTCCACCCAGACCTTCCTAGTTAAAGTTCAGTGTGTAGTTGTAGTGTTGTGCTGGGTTTTGTTTGTTCCTCGTGGGCGAGGAACTTTGTAGTGGGGGGGTAGTGTAGCGACCCTGATAGGATTTGGAGGGGTGTCACTCAGGCATCCCCCGTCTCTCTGCCAATCACAGAGCTGCACAGTGAGGCTGGTCTAGGTGCGGGCCTGTGGTTGGGGGAGCAGACGGGGGAGGGCAGGAAGTTGTGACGTAGTCTGGGTTATAAATAGGAGTGTGTGAAGAGAGTGTGTGAGGTTGAACCCACAAGCTATCCCTGTACCTGTGATCATCTACAAAATAAGAGTTATTAAAGCCTAATAACTGGAAGCCTGTTTCCGACTCCATCTGTGAACGTTACAGTATGTTTATTGAGTTACTGGGTTATTATGATTATTCAAAATTGTACTAAAGTACAGCACTTGAGTAAATGTGCTAAGTTACTATCCACCACTGCTAAATAGTACCTACCCGCACAATATGTCTATCACTGAAACACCATGTGAGTCCTCTTGTGATTTAGTGCCATTGCAGCAGATCTGAATCATGTGTGAACATGGCCTTCCAATCGTCACGATGTATTTTACTGTTTCCCTGCAGATGCTCTGGACGACACCACCGCTTGGCTTCAGGCATCCAAAGAGGCTCAGTGTGACTGGGCTGACAGCCGCCCGCCCCCCCCCTACTATCCGATGCGTTTGGATCCTTTGATATCAAACGTAATGCAAATAAACACAGCAGAAAATAAATGTATACAACAATGTTACCTTAGAAAAGAAGAAATGTAGTAACAGTAATACTTTACAAGTTTAAGCTTAATACATTCATTAAAAGCATAGACTGTATTTTTGTTTAATACATTTTAATAAAACCTTCTGCATTAAAAAAAAAATGTATTTAAAATAAAGAAGAATTAAAGTAGTTTATATGTATAGCCTAAATATAAACCATAAAGACAATTAATTCAGTATATCTACCTTTAATATACTGTATATTGATCTTTAGTTCAAAATGTTGTGTAAAAAAAGTAAGTTAATTAATGTATATACCCTTAATAGTTCCAAAGAGGGGAGTTGTTTGCAGTGTAGGGAACAGTGCCTTGCTCAGGGACACCTCGGTAGCACTTAGGGTAACTGGTGACCTTCCGGATCCCAAGCCACCACCGCCAATCCTGCTAGTAATCCCTGTTTTGGAAAAATGTGACAGTGATCTTTATAGTGATTCAGTGATTTTTTAATGTCCTTGTAATCAAATACAGTTACCTTGTATATTATATATTCCCCCTCCTCCTCCTCCTCGTGTTGCAGCATGTGACACATTTGAGCGCATCCTGCTGTTCTGACACAGCCCTTTCAGATCAACTCAAGCACTCCTTCATCAGCATCATGTTTCAAATGTGTTCTTTTCTCCATGTTACTTAACACTGAATTTTGAGGTGGTCACGTTTGCCTTCGTATTGCTCCCACATGGAGTGAACTAGTGCAGCCTAATGTTTCAAACACTATTGCTATCAACTAGCAATTTCATCTATCTACTGTATAAAACGTTTTTTTATTTTTTTTTAAACATTTATCACTAATACGGTTCACCCCCGAATAAAATATATATTTGTCCTCTTATCTCTTGTGCTTATGATTTTATAAATCTATATTGTTTTGATGGTTTGCTGAGTTTAGGAGGTAACGACTGTACAGATATGCGACTTCTGTTAAATATAATGGAACATGATATTTAGGACTTTGGGGTGTAAGACTTCGTTTAGCTATTTGAGTGTCTTATCTATTATTTTTAAGTTTTATCCAATGGATTTTTAATCTTTTCTTATTTTATAAATTTTTTTTTTTTTTCAATTTTCAATTTACACGTGCCCCCTTCCAAATGCAACAGTACCACTTCTTGGCAACCTTCTTGTAGAATATCCAGTGAAACATTTGCCATGGGATCCGCAATGATGTCATCAAGATGTGTTAGTTTCTTTGTATAGGCTCATATTTACTGTGATTAACCCCCCCCCCACACACACACACAGACAGTGCTGATGGACCGCCTCGTCCTCGATGCCCCGGCCCAGCGGCTGCAGCCGTCGGCCCTGGAGGCATCGGTGCTGACCCTGACCAGCCCAGGGGTTTGTGGGTAAACTCAGGCAGTCCGTCAGGGCGCTGAGGGCAGTCACAGCAGGTAAGAGGAGGGTTTGGTTATGCATGTACTGGCTGTCACGGGGAACAGGTATCGTATCAGAAGGAAACCAATGGAGGTGACAGGAGGAAAGTAGCTTGTCAGAACAGATTCAGCTAACCTCATTCTTTCTGTTCAAGAGAAGCCTCGTCATGATTAGTGGATAAATGTGGAACAGCAACGTGTCATATTGGTGGTGCTGCAGCTGGAGCAGGATCTGCTGAGAGGACACATCTTTGAGCCACCCTGTCCACACTCTCACAGGTCAGGCTGAGCACAACAGCGGGACACATCATGGAAAATTATAATAATTCACATTTAAGTTTTCAAGTACTTAGATAGTTGGATATTGGTTATATTAATTATAATTTAGGGCAGGGTTTCTTGTATCTATTAGTTTGGGGATGCATCAATATTACACAACAAGAGCAACATGCCTTGCAAGACATTTTTCAGAAAATTCTTTCATCCATCGATGGATGCTAACTTTTTTACAAAAAAAACATTAAATGATTTAGTTTGCGCTTAAATGTGACACAAGAAAGCAGCAAGAGGAGCTGAAAGCAGAGTATAATTACTAAAATATTTGGAGAAATGTTCACAGAATAGTGCGGGATGTTGATGGTAGTATATTTTAATCCGTAGGAAAGAACATGCGTTATAATGTCCTTTAGTCTGGGTTATCACATGTCCACATGTGTTTTTAGGACTGTGTGCTGCTGCAGAGAGACAGCCTTCCTTCCTGCTCTCTCCCCCTCCCTCGGTCAAACAGGAGAGAGGGTTCAAGGCTTCCTCGGGGCGTTGCTGCAGGGCGGTCCCGGCAAAGCGAGTCCAGAGCAGCCTACCCCCCCCCGGGCTGGGGAGCGCAGAGCTCAGAGAGCGGGGGGCGGCCTTTGGGCGAATCGTCCACTTCAACAGAATTCAGTCCCTTCTACGCTCCCATCCTCAGGAAACTGCTGTTCCCCCCCGGGAGAGGCCAAGACCAGGGGGGCTCACGCGAGGCTGAGGGCGACCCAGACACCATTCCCCCCCACCGGTGAATGTTTTGTTACAGAGTGTTAATACTGTCAACAAGTGTTCAAAGCAAAGACATATACAGTCTGCAGCAGAAAAACAAAATATATATTATGATATATATCAAAACAATTTATAAATCAAAGCATGATCTTAACTATTATTGCATTGATGCATCTCAAACACACATTTCAACGCAAAAACATTAAGAAAACAGTTTAATGAAACATAATGAGTAACAGTTTTTAACCTGGACAAGAGTAGCAAGTAGTTTCAGTGCGTTACTGAAAAGAGTCATAACACGAGAGTGCTTCGGAAATGTTTTGGAAAAGGTCAACTAACTGAAAACCATATCTGTTGGTTTACTTCATCCCTCAGGAAAGGCATCAAGTACCAAAGATGATGCTTAGAGTTTGTAAATACTTTTAACATGTAGGGTTCTCTTCTTACCTTAATGAAGACAGATTTTTACCACGGTGAGAACTTTTTTCTGAATTCATCTTTTTTGCACCTTTAGTCACTAACCAAAAACTATACTCAGTGTTTTCCCCTTCAGTAGGTGCTATGGAAGGTGGTGTACTAAACAGGCTCCTATTTGTACAAATATTTTCCATTCTTCGGCAGCCACGATTCAATCCACCAAACAAATGAAAAATATAATTAATAAAGGATTTAAGGAATTACCGTTTTTCCCTCAATTCATGATTTAAAAAATATCCTGGGAAAACTATGACTGGATACACTTAAAATGACAAAAGCAGACACACTCAGAGCTTAAACAGCGCTACATGGCACTCTCTTGACCTCCTGGTCATTTTATGTTGAGCAGTTTTAGATGATGAAAATCAGTGTTTCTTCAACAATGCATCGTAAAAATGAAAATATAAAAAATATATAAATGAAAAAAATATATATGACTTTTAGCTGAGAAACACAATGTTATATACGCTGAACAAGCACACGTTTTGAGTACAGGAGACCCAATGAAATGGACTGTTACGTTGAATAAAATAAGGGATTTCTCAAGGTTTGGAAAAATAATTGGTGACATTTAAGATTGAGTTGACAACTCAACAACATATTCAACACATGTATAGTCATTTACAGTAAAAAGTTACTGTAGGTTTAAATGGGTAAGAGATTTGAGGATTCTGAAAATGTCATCAACACAGCAGAATGTTTTTTAAAACACCATTCCACAAATCAAATGCTTAGCTCTGTGATTTGACAATAATATTAATGTTTTTTCGTCAAACTTAATGTTATTGCTTTCAACTAACTTAATACAGTTGTGGGAAATCTGTTGACACAACATCTTTAATTAAAGTCAAGGTTTCAGTTTCTCAATGTGTAATCCAAACCATGGTAGGCACACATCAAGACTAATTGTTTGTTGACACTATACATTAAATGTTCTACTTCAGGGGAAACACTGAAAGTATAATTGTTGAATATTACCCAACATGTTTGTCACTTTACCTTTCAAACAGACAGTGTTATGTTTCCTTCTGTGATTGACTTTGAGCCATAATGCAAAACCAAAGCTGACAACAGACTTAATAGGGATTGTTTTGTCATTGTATTATTTAATTTTTCATTAATATAATATTGCTTTGAAATGTAAAACAGTATCACATTTTCATTGACAAACCATACTCTGTCCACAAACATGGGCAAATGTACAGTTTTTTTTCTTTTCTTTTTTCTCTACACATCGTTACATTTCTATTTTCTCCTTAATAACTCCCACAGTTTCTATCTCCAATAGACCTGAATCAATAGAAAAGCTCATGAATGGTCTACAGTGCTCTAAACATAACAGTACCTACATGACGAGATCAGAAAGTCACATGGAGGCCAGGAAATAGACTGACCCTTTCTGATTACTCGAGACAGGAGTGATACACGGGTCCCCTATAGCCGGTGGTGGTGGGGGGGTTACCTTTCGTCTGTGTGTTGGGGTTGATATGGGGCCGGTGGAGGAGCAGGGGATATACAGAGTGAGATCTAAATGTCAGAGTAGCTGTTTGGCCCTGCACGTTGCATTAGGCTTACCTCGCATTTCCTCTCTACCTCTTTTCCCTCCGCTCTGCCCTCTAACAACAACAAACACACTCACATCGGCTGCTCCCCTTCAACTCACAGCTTGGTATCCGGAAACTTGAACGACGGGGTGAGCTACACAAGGAAAACATTGATGTTAAAAAAGACTTGTACATGCACAGCCAAAATCATGCCACCAAAACTTGCTTTAAATAGCTGCTGCTCATTAAAGTGTAATGCCTTCTTTTTTTCATCCATACTAGAGCAGGTTGTCTTGGTGACACAGAAAATGGAAGAAATATACAAAGTGTTGGGAGGACAGTGGAAACATGGGGAGGGATGGGGATGAATCGCGCGGTGTTGGTGTCGAGAGGAGGGAACATAAAAAGCAAATGGCGAGATGAGCGAGGAGAGACGAGACACAGCTACAGTACAAACAGAGACTGCTTAGGCCAAGTGCATCAAGAACACAGAAACACTGCCAGCATGCATCGTCAGTGGAAGCTAACAGTCAGAACAGAGTGGCACCGCACACAGACCGTCTTAACAGTCAGTGGAGACGAGCTCAATGCCTCACACAGAAACAAGGACAGTGGACGGGATGTAAACAGCAGCAGTCCAAACTCCCATGAGGACAGACAGAAACCAGGCATACAGCAGGAGGTGCACACAGGGGAGGACCCACAGATACGCGTCAACTCCACAACGAGTATTTTGAGTCACAGTGCAGGAGGGAAATTCATTTTTTTCTAGACACAAAAAACTGTGTCATGTTCCCAGCATAAAAATCCATTTGCATTAACAGAGCAACATTTAGGATTTGGCTCTTTTTTTTATGTATTGGAATTAAATCTTTTCACTGCCGTTTATCTTCAAGTGACATACTTTGCATGTACTGTAGCTAATTCTAAAATTGGTGTGAAACAGCACGGACAGCTACCCATGTAATCATGATAATAGGATGCTATGTTAGGAAATGTGTGCCAAATTGTGCTCCAGGCTCATTAAAATACAAATGGGAAAATGTGTTTGAGGACGTTGTTTTGGTCGCGATTACCAAAATTGCGAGATTTGATGTCAGTAATGTCAGTATACTTTCTTTGGTGGTGTGTTTCAATGATTGGATCCTTCGTGATCCCTTCCTTAAATCACGCTTTCCTTTCAATCGACCCCGGTCTATCAAAAAGTCACAAAATGCACTTTATATTCTATATGCACCAAAGAAAATATGTTATTAAAAGGGATAGTGCCACGATTCAACACAGTGATATTCTTTTTTTTAAATTGACAAAGAAGATACTGTGATTACCATGAATGCTGAGAGACTGCAGGGCAGTCAAAGGCCAGAGCAACGACTCTCATATGGACAACACTGTACCATCAAGAACGTCGTTCGGACGGTCAGTCAACAAACACACCAGGAAATGAGAAGAGGCGTCGTCTTTTCAGTCTTTTAAAAGCAGGGGGAGGCGTGCAGTTGTTGGGTAATGATGATATCCAGCAAGGTGGGGGGCTTTAGTTGACTATAGATAACCTAAATGGTGTGTGTGTGTGTGTGTGTGTGTGTGTGTGTGTGTGTGTGTGTGTGTGTGTGTGTGTGTGTGTGTGTGTGTGTGTGTGTGTGTGTGTGTGTGTGTGCGTGCGTTCGTTCAGTTCTTGGTCCATTTGAGTCCAGACATCATCCGTGATAGGTTCACGACCAATCCAATCCATCGTGGTGTTGTGAGTATTGTACAAATGCGTAGAAAAACAACAGGTTGTTTGCTTCATGCTGCTGTTTTGTCTTTTCATTGATTTAAATGTCCGTCTTTCATCCCATGCTTATCAAAGCAGCCTCCTCTTAGTGCCTCACAGTGGTAGATGCCTGGTGAGACAGGACAGGCTAAAGATGGAGAAAGGAACAAAATAAATATATATAACTGTCTGTGAGGCAAAACCACAAAAACAATTCAGAAATGTTGAAATTAAAGGTGATAAAATAAACTTTAAAAAAAAGTTTTTACAGAATAAACGTTTGTTTTTTGCTATATCAAAATGACACGTTAAAGTTAGTTATTATATTGATACCACTAAAACGTATGTATGGTTAATATGAAGCAATGCTAGCAGCCAGCTAGCTTAGGTTAGCAACAATTTAATCTAATTCGAGCTGGTTAGAAAATAAATCCACATGCCAGCATCTCTAAAGCTTCTAAAGTGAGTTAATTGTAAAACCCATTTGTTCTCAAAGACTGCCGTATTATACTTTATATAGTTTAGAGTCACTTATTCCTAACAATAAAACTTGGAAGTCATTAAATCCCATGGAAAATTGGATTGTCAAGGTCAGTATATTTTAATAAATCTACTTCCATATGAAATATGTGTTATACTTTATACTGTACATAAGCATATCTTTGCTATTCAACTTGTTGTGAGTTTATGGATAACAAATAATTGATTATGGTCCTTGTAGAGTAGTTGACATATTTGAACATTTCTTACATTTTGAACCTTGGATATTTGTTCAGCCTTTGGATAGAGCCACGTTAGCTTTGTTGGTCTTTATGATACACTAAGTTAGCTGGCTGTTGGCTGCAGCTTCATATTTACTGTACAGACCTGAGAGTGGTATCAATATTCCTATCTCTCTGCAAGAAAAACAAAATGTTTCCTCTAACAGCTTAACAAACTGGCTGTTTTGGTATAATACACGTTTTTAGCTTACCCAATATTATCAAGTTTACAATTTCTGTACATTTAACAAACCCAATGTTAATCTAGAATAAAAGCTAATCAAATCATATGCAAATGCTTGTTTTGCCTGCAGAGAATCAATAAAGAAAAATAATGGTGTGAAAGAAGAAGAACAATAAAGATGCAACCTCTGGGAGCTATCGGGGATTTGGAGGCAGATGCAAGTTGCCAGGAGGAGGAGGATGAGGAGGAGGAAGAGGCAGTTTGGTTGAGAGAGCAGGTCCACTGTAAAATGAGATCAGTCCAGGATCATCCGCTCCAGGGCTCCGCCATCGGCTGCAGCAGCTGGAGGGTGTACCGAGGGGGGGGGCCGCAGGAGTGTTTTGTCATTGCAGGTAAAGAGAGGTCGTGTGGGTCACTGGGCGGGGCAGAGGGGGGTGCAGGAGTAGGCCGCCCTGAGGGATGCTATACCATCACAGTGAGAAGGCACGGGGCTCGCATGTATGAGTGTGTGTGTGTGTGACAGTTAAATAAAGACCCAGATGCAGGGGGGGAGAGGAAAGTACGAGGGAGTGCAGAGGGGCGGCTGCAGGGGTCCGGCCTCAGAATATGGTGGTCTCGTACTTGGTGCTGACGGGGCGCCTGTGGGGGTCCCGCTGGTCCAAGAGCCAGGTGGTGCTGCCCATGGAGTGCATGTCTGCGTCCATCTCCAGGGGGTCCATCTGCCGGGGGGGAGGGAGGGAGGAGGGACGAGAGGAGGGCGTGAGACGAAGGCCACAGCGCCACACTGACAGACACAGAAGTCCTCGGCTCACACAGGTGCACATGGATTAGAGGTGGGGTCCGGTGATCGTGTTATAATCACAGACACTCAATCCACAACATGGAGGATGTCTGACAGGAAACACACTCTGTGAACCAAAGCTACCAGCCTCTGGGAGTTAAACATATAAACTGATTAGTAGTTCAAAAGCAACATGTGCTCTCCACCAGCGGGACAAACAAACAGAATGTAAGTGATCAAAACACACATAATTGACACTGATTAACTTGTTATGAATTAAAAATGGTTAAAAGTAATCTCAAGAAAGGTTTCTAAATGTTAAGATTCCCTATTAACGGAAAACCACATGTCTTAAAAAGACAGAACTATAAAAAGTGACAGAAAACTGCTAAAACCATCCACAAAGACAACTTCCACCATCTTGACCCTAATTGACACAATTGAGCAAACCGTGCTAATAAAGGCTAATATAGAGAAGGTAGATCACATCAAAAGACCCTCTCATTGCAACTACAACCCTAACATGTCAGATGAAAATGAGCGATGGGAAAGTAAAAGGATGAGGAGAACGTTAATGGAGGAAAGACTAAGAACCACAAAACAAGGAGACAAAGCCCGCTGCGGCACCACAACAGAAACCAAAGAGGGGGTGGGGGGGTGTAAGCAGATGTGTGAGGTGATCACAGGTTGAATAGAGGAAAGGAAAGAGAAGGACCTGGACTCTGGGGCTAACAGAGTGCAACGGGAGGAAGGAGGGGCGGTGGGTAGTACACGTGTGACAGTGACAGCAGCGGCATTCGAGCGGAGGGGCACCCTGGGAGGCAGGAGGACCAAGAAGACAAGAACAAAGACATGTTAAAAAAAACGAGAGTAAAAAGGAACAGAGAAGACTTAGTGGTAGCAGTTTATCATTGTGCTAAGGCAAAAATATAGTATTTTACTTCTTGTGTCTTGGAATAGTATCCTAACATTTATTTTAGCTAATAATCTTCCACTGTAACGCAGGTCTATCAAGCTTTCTCCTGGACAATCAGAGTGTAGGACAGTTTTCAGTTCATAAACACAAACTATTACCAACAATATGTTATATATGTAATATTCTCAATTACCTTTCTGTCCACGACAAATACAAGACAATATGACAGCACTGACATCAAACACTTACTGTGACTATATCAACAAGTATTATGATTGATGTCAAAAACAAGGCTAGAATGTAGATTTAAAAAATCTAAAATGTACAGGATAGGATTACACTGCCAGTACACAATAAGCAGTCAGGATGACTTAGTGTATCTTACTCAAGCCTAAGTAGGAAAATTAAGACTTAAATAATTCATAACTCCATTTTGTCCATATCCTCATCTGCAGGATGTATTCTTCATCCCTGTCATGCAACATGACAGGGATGAAAAATACATCCTGCAGATGCGCTGGTCATCTTACAATTTTTTTTTACCTTAATTAGTGACCCATTTTTGTCTCTTTCTTAAACAAATATATAGAGTAGTCATATTAGCAATCTGACTTTACTAAATCAATCATTAGTGGTATAGGCACCTCCAAACATCAGAACAGAAATGTTTGTGGCCATCAAATTATGATCCATTTACGGTACTTCCTTTACAGTAAACTAATGGAGCTATCACTAGCTTAATTAGCTAACTAACTATATTTTTACTGTGCAAATTAGTTTTTCCTAGGATGGCAAAGACATTAACCACGTGCTCTGCCTCTGAGTGGCTTACCATGATATTCTTACCCTTAGCCTATACCTATATGACCCCTCATGCCACCACTAAACAATCCAAATAACAAAAGGCAACAACTTCAAAGCCAATCAGAGGCGGAGCAGGGTGGGCCATGCCTCCGACTACCAAGGAAAAATAAACTTGAAGGCAACGGATATCCGGGCCAAGATAATTCCTGATAAGCAACTTGAGATGCAAGAATGGACTCGAGAGATAAAGCCTATGACTGGATTGTTTCACAAGTAGCCAGTCAACACAGCAGTTTATTCTTTAGCCAATCAAATACATCTCTGTCAGAGGAATTTAAAGTGGTAAATATGTAACGGTTATCATTGCAAACAGCATACACGCTGTGCGAGAGAAGGGCTTATCTAACTGTCAATCTCTCATTGAGAAACATTTTAAATAAATGTGTGGCTGTCACAGTCTGTTCAAACCAACGTTTGATTTGGAAGCCATTACAGAGCCATAAAAAAACCCTTAAAAACTAATTGAAGCAGATAGGCGTCTCCCCCATCTCAGTTAAAACTTAAACAACCAGCGAGACTCATTATGCAGATCTGTGATTACTCCATATATTATCCTTACAGGCAGGTAGTAAAACAAAGTGAATTGTGTCTATGTGGTCTAGCAGTGTGCGTGCTCCCGGCTGTGCAGCGAAGTCAAAGCATCGATGCACAGCTGAGGCTATACGTGAACATTTACAAAAATCGCTTGATCAATAGTGAAGAAGCATAGGTCTAACCACCAGACTTCAGGAAGTCCCAGAGGAAATCATATACCCGCAACAAATAAAAGTATTCATTCATCATGTTTCACATGTGCAAAAAAAAAGAAGAATTGTGCCTGTCCTGAATGACTAAGCGTTGAGGAGTGGGCGGGATGAAGTTGCCAGCAAAGTCATGACTCATCACAACACACAGCAAATATTCCTCTCTAGGTGGCCCGTTGGGGATTAAGTCACTGGGAAAAAGTCGGTCATGAGATCTGGGTACCTATTCTTAATTATGATTGTACAACTCCATGTTTCCCCCCACCCCCCAATTAACAACTAGAGCACACTCACACGCTCACAGATAATAGGTGCACACCATGTTTTTCCTGAAGAGTTGTAGGGTGGTACTCACTGCTGATCTCCGCGTGCTGTTCCACGAATGAGACACAGGGCGGTTGGTTTTGGTCTCTATGACCTCCGAGGGCAGAGATGTAGGCGGGACGTAGTGTCTCGCCCTCGACTGCATTGCCATCTGATAGGCCACCTCAAATGCCTGCCCAAGGGTGAGGATGATCTCATATGTCTGTGTCTGTGTGGAGGAAAGAAATATTGTCGAAGAAGTGTGTTGAAATCAAATTCACCCCCGAATATAAAGTCAGGTCAATCATTTTTAATAAAAGTTAAACATCAACCTTTGAAGCTGGTGTTAAGTGACACAAAACAACGGGTTTTACAACACGTAAATGACACAATCACCACTACACAACAACAGGCGGCTCAATAGAGTATGCTTTTAAATTCAATACTTCAATGGGCATGAAAACCTTTTATGCTTGGCTGAAATTGAATGTAATTATCTTTAATTATGTTTGACACTCATTGAAGCAGTGGAGAACTTTAAGAAGGCTAGGAAGAAAGGACTAGCAAAATCTTTCAGAATTGGGCTTTTCTAAATGTAATTCAGGGTTGTCCTTTTATGCGATTAAACTGATATTTGCACGTGTTGATCTTGACGTGGCATCTTGTTATTTAATTTAACGACCTTAATTAAAAGCCTGACATTTCATGGACGTGACTAAACATTTGGTAATCGTTTTTTCGTACCAAGTAGTTCAGAGGATTAAAATCTACTAATCATCTTCCAATGACTTATGACTTGATCAGAGTAACCATTATTTTCTTTAGTTTCTAAATTCCGGTTTTCAGCGATTAATTGTGCTTCACACAAAAAAAGAGCCATGGCACACAAAAGCGCTGCTCTTCACATTGTTTGGATAATAACTGTATAATTATATTTTGGTTCGTTTAAATATCATGCACATATTTAGGGAAAAGCTAAAGCGGTGTTAAAAAAAGACATTCTGCACCAAGGAGCAGTCGTGTTACAAATGAGTGAAGATCAAAACCGGTGAAAACTTTGATCATCATTCAGTAAAACAGATTCCCTGCAATTATGGGATGCTTCACAGTGGCCCACCTGCCAAAGATAAAAGATTGTCTTTGACCTTTACAGAACATGAGACACGAATTACAACATAATCTGTGCCTGTACATAAAAATGCCATGCATAGCGGGAGAGGAACTTTAATCAAGCCATTTGATGAATCAATCAAGGGAATAATGTCCACAGTATGCTGCATGTGGTTTGACTGCAGGATAGCAGACAACCCACAAATGGCACTTTGTTTTTTCGAAGTTATGGTGGAAGGAATTTTTCAAAAACTCAAGAATGATGTAGAGATTTTTGGGTTTCCTCGATGGATTACACGTAACAGTTACAGACATATCTATATTATTCTAACTCTAACAGGATGCACTTACCACTTCCACTGTGCTGAAGACGTGACAGAAGTGGTGTCCACTCTTCAGATCCTTGGTAATGTAAGCAAAAGTGCAGAGGTCATCCGGATCTTGGGCGGCGCACGAAATGTTCCTGATCTCATGCTCCGCCACTATAGTCTAATGGAGAAAGGAAGGAAGTGAGTTCCTACTGGAAATCAAGCTCTAATGGAGACTGAGCGAGTCCACTGCAATGTTTGCGGACAGATCGATACACACTGACGCACACAATCTTATACACACACATACTTTCACATTACCTTCGTGGCTGCATCAATAAACTTGACCCCTCTGTATGTAATGGACAGTATGACTACTGGACCCTTTCTTGAATCCTTTGATTTCTGTAATGGACACAATTAAAATGTGAGTATAAACAACAGGACATGCATTTGGCTCTCCCTAACAAACAGTGCAACAATAATGTAATAACAGAGATATTCTTTAGGAAGTGATTATACAGGGAAAAGTAATTGTCAGTTGTATTTGTTCTTGTCACCTTGTTATTTCATATTTTTGTTTTTTATCAGAACAATGAAAATTAGAAGAAAAAATACACATCTTTGTTCAGTAATACTTACCCTAATTTTAGCACAGGCATCTTGTGTGGACTCAATCCCTCGTAGATCCCTGATGATCATTGATCCTAGGTACTGGGAGAGAGTCGAACACACATATCAAATCAACGATATACAATGGAACCACTAGATGCAGTATTTCAAATTAAATATCCCTGTCAAACTATGTTATGCAATGGCAGGTGGTTCTGTCATCTATATTGTATAGAAACAGTGTCTCTGCCTCCAAGCTAAAGACAGGAAAAAGTGACTTACCAATCTTATTATCTTACTTGCCACCGGATAACTCAGCGGTTAGAGCGACGGCCCATATGCAGTCACTATAGGCCGGTTCAAAATCTAAACTGGCCGAACAATCCATGCAATTGTCTCCCCTTCTGTCTCTTTAAGACAGAGGGGAGGACTTAAAGTGTCCCTTTCACTCTAAGTTCTTCATATAGGCCCGAAAATACCTTTTTTTTAAAAAGTGACTTACGGTGGCCTCGTATCCGCAGGAGTCCATGATGAGCTTCTCAGGCTGGTGATGCCAGGCGGACACCGTGGCGTAGGTAGCAGACTGGCTCGGAGGCCGAAGGTTTAAACGAGAGTCTTTCTGTCGTTCACTCTGTCTGTCCTGCAGGGAGGCAAAATCATTGGTTGGAAAAAACACAATTCACATTTACTACATAAAATAAACAAAATGATTCTATAAGGGGCATAGGAACTGATATTTCTATACTTCCATATCCAGAAGCCATAATAGAGATCTAGCAGGTACATCTTGAGGAGGTTTTACATCAGTCCCCCCTCTGCATCTACCTATACTCAGTTTCCAGTTTATTAGCTATATAGCTAAAACGAATTCAGTCAAATACAACCGTAAATCCTTCCGTGATATAATTGTTTTGATGTAACATAAAATACAGACAAATCATGTTGATGTAAAAATAATATAAAAATCCTTATCCAACACTTTCACACATGTTCTATTAAATCCAAATATATTAAAGAGATAGCTACACAATTATGAATGAATCAAAATCACAAATATTATTGTGACATAAAATACTTTAGGACAGGGACATCCTCTGAGTTTCTTCTGCTGGGACACTTTTCTTCACATATGCACACCTCAGTCAGTCAAGCAACACTGATGTGTTCTGAGCACATTAGACTTCTGACTGCTGGGTATTGGTATGAAGCCAACTGAAGCCTGCTCGGTCAGCACTTTAGTGTGGGTCCTGTGTGATCTGTTGTTATACTCATAAATATTCATGCACATGACTGGGCTCAGCTCTTTCATAAATCACCCATCAGAGTAAAATATACTACTGACAATTATCCACTAAGCATTTATAAAAAAGATAAGTATTGATTTAAAAATATAATGGCTCCTGAGTGGTGGGGGTGTTATCTTTGTACGTGTGTCTGTGTTTTCTCTTGGACCTTAGTGAGTAGGAAATTAGTCATGCCAGATTGTTTGTGCATAATGTCGTGGTTTGACCTTTAGTAAATGATAACCTTTGATTAGTGAACAATATTTAATATAGAAACCCAAGAAATTCAGGGAAGCACATTAAAACCCAATTTATACCAGGAAATGAAATGCTTAACTGAATTTGTATGTTTATAAAATGTTTATTTTTTTAATATTTCTTACATCAGAGCAGTTGAGGGTGAGTTTAAATGGAGCCAAAAACCACAATGCGCTAGAAAAAGTAGGTTAACTTGCATGCTCCAAGCTGAACTTTATGGATTTTATTATGGAGATCTAATGTGCTGCAGTAGCTAACAGATTACTTGAACAGATATACTGTATTATGGCTAGATTGAAAAAAATTGCAGGTAGAACAATAATTCATGACTGTCATGTTTTAACTCTCAGTGAAAATATTTAAATCGAAATGAACGATCTTATTCAACGACTTAGAAGACATAAATGAGTCATTTAATTTGACATATTTGAAGAGTTTTGTCTGAGATAATGCAACACTTGAAGACTTCAGAGTTCATTACCTTCCATAGGAGTAATGTTATTACATACATTTTTCTATATTGTGGCATCAAATTTGCAACAATTATTTTTCAATAAATCCATATCACCATGCATTGATAGAAGTCTCTTGAGGTGATCTAGAATATGTTATTTTACAGTCCTCCCCTTTTGTTATGTAACCCTAACTCTGCAGTAATCCTACCTTGTTCTAATTTTCTATGGCCTTATCCAGACAGATATATTAAAAAGATAGCTTCAAAAGGATGACCGGCCACTCATATAATCTCACAGTGCTGTACTTTACATTGTCACATCGCCTACCCCCTTAGCAGTTTTTCTTTTGCTACAGTCTGATGGTTGTGTGGCTCTTTGTGTTTTCCCACTAAGATTGAACTCAACCATGAAGGTTTATTTTTGCAGAACTACTCTGCGTTTGAGAAAATGTGAATACAACTCCAGCAACAACGTGTGACAAGACACCCTGACACATCTAACTTTGAACATCATCCTCCTCTATTATTCAGCCAGTCGCTCACCCAAAGTGTGCTTGGTGTTTTTTTCCCAGAAGACTTTAAAAGTGAAGGGAGTTGAAACTCACTACAGAGCGCGGCCTCTCGCTGTACGACCGCAGGGAAACGCTACAGTCCTGATCCACCGCTCTCCTCCTCCGGTCCGACTCAGTCAAGGGCAGCAGCATGTCCATGGAGCGGCTGGTGTACGGGTCCATCTGACTGAGGGGAGACGTGTTCTGGGACAGGAGGTCATGGAACTGCCACACAACAAAAGAAGACAAACCCACAGTCACACAAAAGCCTAGATTAATTATTTGACAGCACTGTCTACATGGGCTGGTTTTCCTGATCTACATCCAAGCCTAATCCCCGACAAAAGAGCCTCTTCCGTGGAGATTCTCAATTCTCTTTAGCCCGGTTTAATCTGCCTGGGAAATCAGCCCTGAGTATTTAACTGTTGTGAACATAATGATATTGAAGAATCTCATTCCAAAATTAGATATCCGCCGCTCGAAAAAAAACAGTGGATTCCATTTTCTCACAAAATTATGTTGGCATAAAAATAAAGCTTGTCCAGAAATGTTGTTTAACTTCCATCCTATGCTTTTTCAAAAGTATTTATTATAGACATCATTGACACTAAATATGGGTTGTATTGAAGCCATAAGCAGAACAGCCCTTTTAATTGGGCATATTGAGCACACCCAACCCATTAACCAAATGAGCTTTGACTGTTATTCTGCACTTAGTTAAATAGCAGCACTAACAATGATGCAGTCTGATTAACAATGGTGGTGCTTTAGGTGCTTTGGAAAAAATGATATGCGGACTTTGCTCTGTTTTTGTAGATTGTAGAGCAAAGTCTAGTGTCAAGTGCCACCTAGTGAAAAGCGAAATACTGTGACTGGCAACCGCATGTTTCAACCTGTATTTCCCAAACCACATGTAAGAATGATGTTTAGGGGGGGATGCGTGTGTCAAACCAACAAAGGGCTTGATTTTTTTATTTAAGTCTGTAACTTTGACAACTAGACAAACATCATTATTTTGGGACAATCCATGATCTTTTTACGAAACCTAACCAAGTAGATTTGTTGGCTAAAATACACCAAGGGAAGTTTTTGTTTTGTTTCCATTTGTGTTGGAAAACCCTAACCCAGGTAAGCCAGGTTTCCGTCATATTGTAAATTGAGGATTCAGTTTATTTCTATGGGAAGGTAATTTTTTTTACGAGACAGTGTTAACATTTCCACATCACCAGTCTTACCATAATTGGGGACAGACGACGGGACTTGGACGGAGCCTCTTCATAGGGTCTCTCTGCTAGAGAGGCGATGATCCTCTTCCTGTGGCCCAGGGCACCAATCTTTATAACCTGGAGAGGACACAACATAAGAGCTTCCAGTGCATTGTCACATTGCATACACAAGCATTTACTTAGAGTAAGCTAATGGAGATACATCCTAAACACACTGACAGAGTTTGTGGCATGCAACCCTCACTGGCAGGCATCCACAGGCAAACAGAAATGACGCTCGTCAATAATTCAGCCTCAATCTGTTTTGCCGTAAGCTTAAAGTACAGCGCTGTCTCTTTCCTGGAAGACCCTATAATTCACAATCCATTTTTGGAAATGGTTCCTAAATAACAGAGAAGAATTTGGCAATTTACAGGAGGATAAGAAGTAATATGCAAAAAAACGGATATTCAAAGGCTCCATCGAACAGATCCTCTTAATTAGTCAGAATTTCAATTTGTTTTTTCATTAACAGTATTTCACCACTGCAAGTTCCCCTGACACACGCATATCCACGATATCGCTGTCTCTTTAAATATTTTACAAATGCCAGATCCGCTTGTGTGGATAAGACCCTCAAAGGAGGGAGCAAGGGTTAATTTACTGTAGTCAAAACTCATTATCTTAATTCTGTATATTTGCATAATTGGCTATTAACATTCATGCTCATCCAGTAAAGGTGGATGTCGAGTGATTACTGTTACATTCGCAATTATGTTGCAGCTGCAAAACATTCTATAACAGGCTCGTATGACTCTTTGTCTGAAGGCTTCAATTATGTATTCAGTGAGAGTCGGAGGCAGATGAGGCAACTGGTCTGTGGGCTGCTGCCGTTTCCCTTTAGCAGGATCCCAGAGAGACCAGTGTGCATGAGGTGTGTGAAAGAAGAGAGCATTTAAATACAAATAAAGAGCCTTGGGATTATCTGAGAATGTACACCAGCTCATAGATCAAATATAAACTTCATAGATGGTTTATCCTAAGGTGCTGAAGAGGATGTAGGAAATGTAATGAAATGGGAGTCCTGCCAGGAAGCTCACAGGCGGCTCTGCACACTGAAAGTAATGTGCTCGGCTCTCACACCCATCTTTCTTTACTGCATCGCCATCGCAGTGTGCTGGACTCCTTCCCTCACATACTGCATATACAGTGGATTTGGCTGCTGCTTTCCTGCTGTGCTGATCCTGCAGCTATGGCTGGTTTCTGCCATTTTCTTTGTGTTCATCACATTGAAACACATAAAGATGCAGAGATAAGTGGGAGAAATATGATCTCCTTAAACTGCCGTCTGTGAGTGCTTATCAACCAGATCAGATCATCTGTTTGCCTGTCAAAACATCCACAATTTCATGTCTACATGGTGCTTATTACCAAGCCCGTATGTCATGATAAATTGAAGATTAAAGAAACGTCAGGAAGAGGTAATTTTGTCGCAAAGCATGATAGATTTGTTTCTTTCCTGTCCAGTTAATCATGTTGATTTATCTAGGGATCCCATGACGACGCTGTAGTCTAAAATAAAACATTGACGCACAGAGACAAATCCAGACCTGCACACAAACAAATAGCTAATTGCGTTTCTTCAAAAACCTCCAATGCAAAATAAATAAGTCCTCTTTGTAATTACCAATTATCATAAAATGTTACACAATTGAGATAAAAACTAAATAAACGTATTAATTTTCCTGTCACCTGTCATACGGCTCCATAATTCACATTCTATCAGTCAGTTACTACTCAGCGATACTACAAATATTTCTGCTATAGTATTATGAAAAATGCTTCAATAATTTGGCACTTTTATTACTTCAGCATTGCATTTTAAAGTTTGTATCAACCTCAAACATGTTCTATCAACGGAGACATAATTGTAATTAAGGAGATGATTCATAAAGAGACAGTCCCTCGTCATAAGACACTGAACATTTTGTTCTCCTCCATTGACATCGAAACAGTGAATAAATGTAAGAGACGGCTTCTCACATTGATAATCTCCAGCTCCCAGAGGTTCTTGACACACTCCAGTGTGCGGTAGCCACTAGAAAGAAAGTTGGGCAGATATTCATGCAGGCCGAGGCCGTCCAGCCAGGACACAAGAGACGTGCTGCCATCACAGCCCAGTGCTTTCACCTAGAGAGAAGGAGAGACGCATGTCTTTTTGCAATGAAATGTAGATGCTTGTTTTCCTTGTCACAATGCTGATGTTATTATTTAGCTCAAACAACTACTGTGGCTGTTTGCAGCCTTACAAAGCCTCTAGCATTATTGTTGCTTAGACTTTTACCCTCCACAATTGCAGGCTTTTAATAAATTATTAACATTTAGCCCTGGCTGCCAGATTTTCATCTACAACCCATGTGTAGCCCTTTCAGTATAATATAGACAAGTCGTAAATATCCAATACTACTTGTAATGCATTTTGGGGGTAGTACTTAAAAATGACTGTTAGCAATATACTGCAATAAGAAGTCATAATTGAAGTTTTTTTTATGAACGTGTTTACCCTTAAATCTATGGTGTCAGTGGTGGAAACATTTTATTTTTCGATGTTTTTCATTTAAACTCTAAGGAACCACAGTATCTCTTCACAAGTGTAACCTTTCTCCCTTTACTGTGTTATCTATTTTTATTCATATGTCCTATTTTTGCAAACATGACATCTTGACCTTTGTCGCTGAGACACAGTCAGTCATCCCTCAGTGCCGAGGTTAAGTTGTGATGTTAAGTACCTTGGGCAAGCTGCGTGCCGCATGGAGGATTTTCTTCCTGTGTCCTGGGTCAGTGATCCCGACGTCTCTGAGATCCTGGTCCTCCATCACGTTACTTCCCTACATGTGCACAAACGCAGAACACACACACAAATAAACACATCCACACACAGACACACACGCAAACACACAAACACAGCCACTCATACACACACACACACACACACACACACACACACACACACACACACACACACACACACACACACACACACACACACACACACACATGCATGCAAACAATAAAGACATAGACACAAGCACATGCACAGACAATACACAATATGGACATACAGTAATACAACACATTCAAATAATCAGTTATCAATTATAATATACTGTATATCAGTGCAGCTATTGAAAGGTCTGCAAACATACACTGGCATACAGTATTTACGCACAATATACTGACATAATACCATACATAAGACCATAGGCCAGGGAAAGTATCATGACTCTTTCTACACTGTAACTTCTGGGTCAACATTGCAGCAAACACACTTGCTTGTTAGTACATGCACACACACATACAGAATATGCACATCTCTGACACAAGCAGTAACAGCAGAGTGGGAGGACAATGAAGTCAAATAAATTGTGCATGCCAAGAGTAATCAATCTGAACTGGTGCGACTCAGAGGGAACAAAGCCTTCATAGCTGCAGCAGCATCTACAAGATCCCTGTGTTTCATCGAGGCACATCGAAATATTCCAAGAGGAACCAACCATTGTTCTCTCCAGTTTGTTACAATTCCTTAAGTTAGGACATTGAAACAATGGAACAACAATCATTTTCCACCTCTTAAAATCTTGACTTACAAGAAAAATTATTGTTTATTTCATATTTGCGACTCCTGCTGCATTGTCATCTTATTCTGGTTCATAGGCAGCCATAAAGATTCAAGGAGAACCTTGAAAATGTGGAGCTAAGCGTTTTTCCCCGTGGACTGCTGCGGATTGATTCTTCCTGGCCAAGAATGTTAAAATGTTCTGTGGTCTTTACTCAATCTGCTTTTACTGGATTGGTTTCAGAGCATAATGCAGCAGTATTCACAGGCCTGTATCAGGGTGCCGTTTGGAGATTACTCACTGATGGCTAGAATAAAGGTCAAAATGAAGCGAAGTCTGATGTTAGGGAGACCCAAAATAGATTCTCCACTTTTATTAACATAGTTTGAAGTTTGATGATGCCTCAGGAGACTCTGCAAACATATTATTTCATGCTGCATTTGAAACGGTGACAGGAATGTATGGTTGAGTTCTTACATAGCTTATGAGCAATGCTAGTTTGATTTAATCTGATACGATTTGCAGATGTAGCCATGGTAGAAGTTCTTATCTCACTAAATGCACTCAGTTAATGCAACAGGGAATTAGAATTGCTCTATTGCTCTTCACCACAGGGGAATAGTTTAGAAAAAAATTGAATTTTGTTGCTTTTCTCAAGAGTCAGCCGCTGTTACAATAATATGGCGTATAAAGAAAACTTAAATTAAGTGTTATAATATGTATGTTCAGTTCTACATTACAACATCACAGAAAGAGAGGATTTGCAGAATATGATGCAATATGAATGCAGGGAAGATGCAATGTAAATGCATGCTGAGTAACTTCTAAGATATTTTGCACTAGACAATTTGCCTCAATGCCACATTAGTTTGGCAATGGGAGCAACAAAGCAAAACGCTAACGTAAAAAGAGTAATGGTGGAATTATTTGACTGACAGTGAATCCCACAGACAAATTGTGATGTTTACGCTCTGATTGATGACATCTGAGAGAGGTCTGGCAGAAACCAAAAGGGCACAATATTAAACATTCACCAATGTCTGCCTGACTACTCTGACCTTTCCCTTGTTTGCTACCTCCACGGCCTTGTAAATATCCATGGGTAATTTGCTTTGTGAAATTAATTATTTATTTCTTTGATGCATCAAGTCCGGCAGACACATTAGTCGTGGCATGTAAGTGAACATAAGATTGGTTAATGACCCATCTTTCCCGCCACATTGCGTTCCGGAAATCTTGATCAACATGGAATCGTCTGGCCCAATAAGCAAAGGAGCTTGCTTTGTTTTCTTTCTACTGTTTTGATATCCGCACACCAGTGTCGGGTGATACACAGCGGGGGCGATGAAATATTTGTGTCAACTAGTAAAGATTTTGAAATGCGTATAAAACTAAGCTAGCTAGTATCCCTGGTTGCATTAAGCTATTGTGGGCCATGCTGCTGATCAATAAGAAGGGCTGATTTATGGCAATATTGGATTTGGAGGATTCTTACATAAATTAGTTAAATACCTTTTATTTGTCAGGCATTCAATATATTAGTTTAGGTAAAGATCAGACTTGTAATTGTATCTTTATACTGTTTCTCAATTGAAGTTCCAAGTAATAAACTATATTATTACAAACAATAATGTTACGTATAGGCTACAGGGATAAAGAGTGTATCCTAATTAAGGCCAACTGTCAACCTTTAGTATTTCTATACTGACGTGATTTATTACTTATTGTTCGACAGATAAACAACGTTTTTATACGTACTATAAGCCCCCCCCCCTGTATTCCTTTTACTCCGACTTCATAGTATTATAATATACTACTCCTTTGGGCTTGTCTTCATTAACAAATACAAATCTGAGTTTATGGGAGGAAATAAGGTTCACTATTATTTTGAAGCTGTAAAATGTGTTTTACAAATAATTGTAAAGCCTGCAGCTGAATGTTTTGTGTGCATGTACAAATCATTTGCTTGCATGTATCTGAATGTGAAACATTTTGTGAACAGAGATTCCAATTGCATATATGTAAAGTGTTTGTAGTTGCAGAAATATTTAGTGAATTTGCATTTAAATTTGTGCAGGAATAGAAAATTGGGTTATAGAAAGTCTGAGAGAAAGACCAACAAACTGTCCCTCTGTCTATGCAACACTGAAGTTACAAGCTAAGAGTTTTGAGCACACATTTTTATGCTGTATTTATGATTGAGCTGACTAGCCAATCCGTTTGTTGCTAACTGGACATCAAATCATAGGATTCAGAATGTCTAATGAGAAGGTTTGCTAAACGCTAGCCTTCATAAACATTAGCCTAATAACTTACATTCATACTTCTATACAGCTTCCGTTTTTGATCCCATAATCCCAAGGTACACCAAGTTATCCAAAAAAAGCTATGGATCAGGAGCCAAACCACCAAAGAAACAGACTAATAATGCTAAATCATTTTGCTTTTGTTTTTTTTACAATCAATCTTGTGAAACCTTGCTGTTTAAGATATTACTGCACACATTAACACACATGTTTAGTCCCAAGGGGTTGAAAAAGAACAACAAATATTCATAAATGGGGCGAAGCCTGCGAGCTAGTTCAGGCAGTCAACTCGAGCACCAACGATACATTAACACGTGACGCACCTCGTCCCTCTTACAACCAACCAAACAAATTCTCCTAAACTTGCCGCTTATTTAGCTGCCAGGCTCCTGCCCTCTGCCGTCGCGCTGCTGCTGCCACTGCTGTGTTCCCTTGCTATTGATCGTTATCATGTTCCTGCTGTTGTGTTTCATGTTCGCTGCTGCTCGCCCGTGCCCCCACTCACCCAGCTTCACCCCAGCTTCCACCTGCTGGCTCGGGGGAAGTAATCTAATCATCACTCAATGTTCTTTGAAATCTGTGGAGTGATGAGGCCCGAGCCAGACGCCAAACTAAACTATATGCTGCTATAATAAACATATTAAGGAACACGTGAGTTGTCTGACTGAACTCAAAATTAATCAAATTCCTTGCCTTCAAACGCATAACCAAATTGTAAAATATTGGAACCAGCCCTGAAAATGGCCCTTATTTGCTCCCATACCAGCTTATATCTCCACAGCACCTCATAGTAGGAGTGATCACATGTTCATACTGACTCCCATTATGTTGTAATCTCATGCCTTACCAGTAAGAAAAGATCAGAGAGCAGCAGTCCTCAACTGGAATGCTTTATGAATACAACCACTTTCCCTCTGAGCTTACTGGTCTCACTTAAGTGAGCTCAGCTGTGACAAACTGATGTAACATATAGCTCATAGTGCAAATGCAACTCTGTGGTGTGAGAAAGGTCCGTGTTTACCCTTTGGGCCTAGTTATTTACAGTGTGTAGCCATGTTTTTCGGAGCAACATGTCAAAGGGATTGGAAACGAAATAGCGTTTTCTATAATCATGACCAAATGCAATATCAAGTTCCCCTGCAATGTTCTCTACGGGAAACATGATAATGCTTTCAGGCAGACTGTTTACTACAGTCAAACTCATTTATCAATATGTAATCTGATGGAGGCTATTTAAAACTGCAATATGTGTCAATGCTTTGAATTTATTTTGTTATCATGTTCTTCACAGTGGACATCCATGTGGCTTTTGATAATTTATTAACTAGTGTCATCATAAATGTGTAACCCAAATAAATGTCTGCATGCAAACATATGGTTTGTATTGCATTTGAACATACGCATGCTGCTGCAGTCTAATTAGATATTGTGCCGTTTTTGCAAGACCTTCTCATAAGCATAATAATGTGTAGAGCCTTTAGTGAGATTTGGCTAGCAACCATGCAACTACAGCGTGTTTTGGTTTATTGTTTGTGCAGGTTATCTATTTACATCTATATAGAGGTCAAGTGGGACGACTGTAAATCAAAAGAATCAATATAAAGGGGCGAGGAAGTGGCTTTAGAATTTTACAGTAAATGAGATAGCATGGTTGGAAATGCTGGGAAAAAGTTAATGGGTTTTGGTTGTAATTTGTCTTTCCATTGGTGAAAGCCCATATTCTTTAAAGGGATTCAGTGATGGGCCATAAATCTTAGCAGGGTCATGCATTGCACAGGAGGTGAAGAGGAGAGAGAGGAAAGGGAGCGAGGAAGAGAAACGGTCTGTGGGGTGAGTTGGGGAGAGAGAGGGAGAGGGTGAGTGGAGAAGCTGACAGACAAGCAGAGGGTGAGAGAGCAGAGTGGTGACACTAAAAGACAAATGCAGCGGGGTTGACACGGGGACAGACGGAGTGATGTAAAGTGGAAGCGACCTCTGAGATGACATGCTGCAGGTGACTCACCATGAATCGTAGGTCGTCGAAGCCATTGAGCAGGAACTTGCTCTCGTACTGCGGCAGCCCCACGTGCTCCAGCCACTCTCCGACCGGCTGGTCCAGGGCTTTACCACAGGCCCCATCTGCCGAGAGAGGGAAGCGCTTCAGCAGGGAGAAGCCGTTCAGACGGTAGCAGCGGCACTCAGAGGACGAAACATGGCATTGCCACATCATCCTCGGCCAGCAGAGGCAGAGCCGAGTGCAGCAGCACCAGGCGGGGTGGGGGGGAGACAGGGTCCAGGCCGGGGGTGAGGGGCTCCCGAAGGTAAGGGTGGGGGCCCAGCTAAATCAAACACAGGAGGAGGGAAGTGCTGCAGGCCTAGCTCGAGCCCTGCAGGGGACTGACTAGGCTAATATACACCCACTGGTGTTAGTGTGACTGACTGGAAATGTCAGGCGAGGGTGGAGGTAGTGCAGGGAAGGAAGCCCATCTGAAGCTTGGTGGTGTTAGTTATGTTGGACTGAGCCACTACGGCATCTTCCAACAAACAGGGTTCACTAAACATTCCTTTAGTGAGCAGATGAGCGAGTTTAAGAACAAATGCCTGGCTAGTCCGACAACAAAACAATTCTGAACACTTCAAGTCAAGAAGCTAAATCATTTTCAGCCTGAAGGGAAATGGAAACATCTGTCACTAAATCAAACATTTTCATACATCACACATTATTTACTCGGCTAAAACTATCCCCATTAATATGTTTGTCTAACATCAGAAACTACTGCATCAGGGTGTAACACAGAAATATTCAGTTCCCCCAAAATAAATGTGTCACGGTTTTCACCACATACTTGTAACGCTCTGGCTGAGTCCCATGGCTTCATTGGTCAATCTCTTTGAGAGCTAGGACACGGCTCATACAAGGAAGGTAGCAGCATTCTAAAGTACTGTTGAGGTACTGATGTTATCTTTGATCAAGGAATACACATTGGCTTAAATTATTGTGTTTTCCTCTTTACTCCAGAGCCACAAGGAGTACGATCAGGTAGAAATATTGTAAATCCTACATTAAAAAAAAAAATTGGTTGACTTAGGATTTCCAGAGTGTGCTGATTTCAAACTCCTCAAAGCTGTCTGGCAAAAGGCTTGGTGTCCTTGGTGCTGCCAGTGCTGCCCAGCATCCACACTCTTCAGCAGACTGCTGGATGTGCGGCTCCGCCAGTGAACGCGCTTCTCATCTCTCAGAGCAGTAAATCCAGGTTCAGATCCAGCAGACGGCAGGTGAGCGTCTTGACTCTGAAGCAGGGGGGATCACTACAGGTGCAGGTTAAGCTAGTTCCTTTTCTCAAGGCAGGCGCCCCCTTTTCCCACCCCAGCCCACCTGGTTCTTCTCCTCGCTGGGTACAGCTAGCAGCCTCTGTGCTCAGGGCAGAGGTTTGCTGCATCCCCTGCCTGTCTGAGACATGCAGGCAGCGCAGATGCAGTCACAGCAGCTGCTCCCTGCTCACACACGCTCCCCTCACTGCTCACAGGGCATAACGTCCTGACGCCGGCTACTTCTACACAGGAGACCTCAGATCTGCCTCAACCTCAGCCCCTGCTGCCACGTCCTTTCCCACGTCCACGACAGGCAAGAGACTCAGATCATCTCCCCTTCTCATCCGAGCAAAGCCCTCAAGCTCTTCTTTTTAACTCCCCCCCCTCCTCACTCTCATGTCTCTCTTTCTTCCTTTTGCTCTCGATCTCACAGCCCCATTCCCACACTGTGTGATCGCACTGCAGGGCTGCCGTATGCTGCCTGATGAAGTGGGGTGCCGCTCCACGTAACCACCTCTCTCTCTCCCTCACTCTCCCACTATATCAATTCCCCTCCCTCTGCCTCTCCCTCTCTCCCCCCTCTCTGGCTTGCACTCTCCCTCACTCTGTCTCGCTCCCTGCCTCTTGTCCTCAAATAGACAGACAGAAGCAAACACACACACTCTCTTTCGCTCTCTTAATCGTCTCACTACCCCTTTTCCCCTTTTATCTAGCTGTCCTTTTTTTGTCATACAAATGCACACACACTGTCTCTCTCTAACCTTACCCCACCTCTCCCCCCCCCCTGCACTGATTAGAATTGCAGAAGCACTCTGATCTTGCCAGTGCAGTAAGGATACCACCATCAGAGGATAGGAGCTCGCCCCAAAAAAAGAGAGACCAAAGAAATCTCAGTCCTTCTCTGCCAAGAATGACGAGAATGTAAAGGGATGGCGAAGAACCAATCCTCTTCTGCAGGAGCAACGCCAAATTACTTAAGGCTCACATGAGATATTGAAACAAAGAGCCTCATCAAGTCTCTACTCACAAGCAGACAACTTGAATTCATTTACATCCTACTTTGATGATAGGCAAAGGGAGGGCAGCGTTGATTTAAGTTAGCAGAAGTGTCTTTTGCACTGAGAAAAGAAGAAGGGAGGAAAAAAAGAGACACTCTTCAAGTCCTGTCTCATCTAATCTCACACGATCATACAGCATGAAAGCGTTCCAGATGCTCAATCTCAGATCAAGCATTCTAGGTGTAAGCATTTAAGTATAACAGATGACACTTACTGGAAAAAAGCCTGGATAAAAAAAGTGTGATAAAATATAATTCAAATCGATTTTGGGGTAAAAAAAGAGTCACACAGTGTTTATAGGTAGACTTTAGCCAGACCTATGCTGGGCTGCTCACTGCGTCCACCACTGGTGTGATGTGGGTACGGCTGCAAGCAGAGTGTAGCTATGCAGGCTTTCAAGCTGCTTGCAATCACCTCACACATCCCCAGATGGTAGTCAGACAGTGAGTAAAGCAGTCAGGGCAAGGAGGAGCGGTGCCAACAGAGGGAAGCAAAGTGAAGGGCTATTGATTGAACTTCCTCCGTAATTGGCAGCCCGTACCCCTGTTGCTCAGGCGATCAGGTAAAAGGCCAGGGTCTCCGTGACCCGTCAGTCATCCAGAACGAAGAGTGCTCATCATCCGTTATCAGGATGAGAAGCTGCTGTCAGACTGAGGAGGAAGATGATGGAGCGAGTGAGGAAGGCAGAGGGGGAGAATGAGACAGATAAGAGACAGAGAAAGACTAATAAAGGAGGAGGCGATAAAACATTATGGGGGAGATAAGATGCCAATAGGACGTAAGAAGGATTGAAGTGGACTAATTAGGATTCACTACGAGATCCCACAACTCCTCCTCCTCCTCCTCCTTTCCTCTTTCCTCCTGAGCCTCTAACCAAAGTCTGCTCTTACACCACGAGATCGAATGTTAAAAATACCTGCCACCCCATCCAATTACATCCATTCATTTGGGACAGCAACACCTCCCACGGTAGTAGGACCTAATTACTGACTGACTGACAGAGCTCCTCCTCTGGGGGGATCTGGGTCACAGTCTTATCCCCTTTTAAACAGGCCGAGCTGTCACATCTATCCAAGTGGGTTTTCTGTTTGAGCACTGTTCGGTCTTGAGTAAAAACAAAAACGATTTACAGAGGAAGAAGAGGTAGAGGTTGTGCCTAGATAAGGCCGTGGCTCTTTATCAGAGAAGGAGAAAAGCACTAGCTCCTTGTCAACAGACCCAAGCAGTGGAGAAAATGAGCTGCAAAGCTGAATTAATTCAGGAAAACTGAAGGCGGACTCTTTTGCTTTGAACGTCAGACTGTGCCTGTACACAAACCCGAGCCGATGCCTCCTGTGTGCTGTTAGCCGAGCTCTCTCTCCTCTCCCTCTCTTTTTAAGCTCATTTGCTCGTCGCTCTCAGCACACAATCGAGGCGCTTGTGATGGGCACACAACACAAACAACCTCATCTTTGAGCGAGCAGAATGACGCAAAAATTGCAGGGCTGGGTTTTTATAGACAGAAATATCCCCAAATGTTCAGAAATCTGCTTTCGGGAAATGAATCGGCGGCCCTCGGTAACTGACAGGAGAATGACAGCATACAAGGAGAACGATGGATGGAATAGAAATACACAAAACAGGAATAGATAAGATTTCCAAATTGTGTAATGTTGAAAAGATAAGAGCTATAATGAAAAGGGACAATTTAGGTTACCATCTTTCCTCTCATCTCTTTCTCTCTGCCCCCCTCCCATCCTCTATCCCTCTCCCCCCTCCCCTGGTAATGTCTCTGAAGGGTACCTGTTTGTTCCCTTTCATTAAGCTACACTGTGGAAAATAAATATGACCTCTTTACTAAGCGACACGTACAAAAACAGCAACAAAAGCATCTTCGCAACCTCCCAGAACTCCTTGTACAATCTCAGATTAAAATCGGAGCAGCAACTGTATGACTCAGCTGAATGTGGGACATTTTCTGCATGCTGTTCTCCCAACAGGGACTATAAATAGCACACACCTATATGTGTAGAGGGGAAAAACAAACAACATATTTGCTCTTATGTAATGTAGAATAACCTCAGGTCTTAATTGTTAACATGGCAATTAGTGTAAGAATACTTAAAGTCAAGTTACAATGAAAATCATAAATTACCTCTGCAATGGAAAACAGCTGTGCTCTGGGATTGCTCTGCTGTTATGCATTTCCTTTTGCAAAAAGGTAAATTGTTATATTGTGCAATGGTTAAAAGAAGCTTAAAATAAACTGATTTGCACATGAGAAAATGCTAAGATGAAGAATTAAGAGGGGGTTTTGGTAATTATAATTGGTGTTGTTACTTTTATATATTTTTAAAATAAAGCCTTATTAGTTTGTCTGTTTTGCACATCCTCTTATTAATATTTGTGGACGTCCTGCACTAAACTGTTTTATTGTAGAGATCACTACAGTATCTTCTTGATATTTTCTATTCTATATTTCTATCATTGCCCTTCTACTTTCCCCCTATTTTTTATGTAGGCTACTCTTAATATTTAAAAAATGTCATCAAATATAACATATTCAACAAAATAAATTAATAACGTGCTTTAACCACTAGGGGTGGGTTAAAAAATTGTAAAGTTTACAGTATTTACACAATAAATTATACTTTCCAGTATAATTTCCAGTTTAGTTTATGACGGATTTATTTATTTTTCCACACATATATTGTTTTGATATTTGTAACACCAAACCGACAGAAAATATGGTCTTAACATGACCCAGTGATCTAGTTAATAAAACCTAATAATATCAAACATAATAAGACTATTAACTTTATTCTGAAATTAAAACAGAACGGTAAAGGAAAATACAGTTTCAGTCTCTCGATTTGAAGCTTATGCATTGTACTATGAACCTGTATAGACCTGTAACAGTCAACTGCATGAGGAGTTGGAAAGGTAGTTTCTGAAGATGTTACAAATAACACACAGCATACAATGCCATAATAACTTTGTATTATTAGTGTAGGGCACTTATGTATGTATAACATCTGAAGATGTGTAGTTTTATTCATGTTTTCACATCATTTTACAGGATATTGCTATATTATTTCACATATTGTAGTTCTACAGATTAATATCTGATTTGTAAAACATAGACAGAAAGGTATATCCGTCATTTAATGGTAAGCTATTCCAATTGTGATTCCATAGATGTGTCTCCCATCACCCAAAACCCCTGACTATTCTCTCAACTCAGTATTTACATTCTTATATTCAAAGAAAATCAGTAATATCTTTAAAAACGTGCATTGAGGCTAAAACATCCGATCAGCGAGCTGAGGACCTTTCCGGTATTGTTCCTGTAATGAGAGTTCACATTTATGCTACATTGAAGGGTGGAATTGACTACACATCTTCAGAAACATAATTTGCTTCAGATATAAGTCATAGCAAATAAAGTATAAAAATTAGGGCTGGCAGTCGACTAAAATATTTAATCGCATGATTGTCCATAGTTAATCGCGATTAATCGCACATTTTTTATCTGTTCTAAATATATGAAAAATGATTTTTGTTAATAACATTTTTGAATACTCTTATCTACATATGAGTGGACAAATATGCTTTATGCAAATATTTATTATCATTTGAACAATGACAAATATTCTCATGAATGTTAAACATAACAACCTCTGAACATTACAAATATTCGCCTCAATTCAACCTGGAACCTCTCTCATTCAATAATACAATACAAAGTGTGTGTGTGTGTGTGTGTGTGTGTGTGTGTGTGTGTGTGTGTGTGTGTGTGTGTGTGTGTGTGTGTGTGTGTGTGTGTGTGTGAGTGTGTGTGTGTGAGATTGGAGCGTGTGTAGTGGAGTCGTTACTACGTACGTACGTA